AAAGCAATATGAGTCCAGATATTTCTACTACACAAAACTGGGAGGTGAAAAACTGCTAAAATGATCTGCTGTTCCTGTAAGAAATGCATTTCTGTGCGTTGAACTCTAGGAGGCAAAGTTTTGCAGTACAATTATGATAGAATACATGTTTTACAGCTTTGTGTATAGTGTTGACATATTGTGTTCAGGCTTGACACCTGTATTGCAGTTTGCTGTTTTGAAGACAATAACATTCAACCCTGCTGCGCTTCACCGCCTACTGTGACTCAAGGCAAATCACCAAGAAACCTAACAGGTGCAGCTGAATACAAACCCAACGGTGGGATAGAAAAATAGCTCTGCACCAGAAGTGCTCGTAAATGTGTCTTTTGCAGAGTGGTACAGGTGAAAACTATCCTGTGTCAGTGATCCTTGCTGTTTCATTGAATTCTAAGTTATGAGGATTCAACAAAAGTGTGCTCTTAAAACATAAATTTAAATATGTTGTTCTCACATCAAGACAAGTCATTGGCAACAAACATCAAAAACATTTGGTATAAAATAGATCTGCAGATATCAGATGAGAATGTGTGGGTGTCAGTGTGCAACTATTAAAATCCTGTTTATTGTACTATTTGTGCAAGGCAGAGAACACAGAAAATATAATTGTGATTGTGATGCAGAGCTTACTAAACATATTATTTCCTCAAGGGGCAATTATAAATGTGTTGATAAAACACTGCAGTTCCCCCCCTGCAGCCATATATGTCTTTAAGTATTTTATTTCAGTGATGTTTAATCACTAACAGTTTAACACAGTGGGATTTAAAGATGTTTGCTGAGAACATGAACATGGTGAAGGTCACAGACTGGGTTCGAAACCAGACTTTACTTTTTGAAATTAATAAGGAGTTTTTTTTTCTTTCCAGTGGTGATTTATCCAGGCGTGTTTGTGTGTGTCTGTGTCTGTTTCCACGTTGTTTTGGCCTCTGAGGAGCCGCAGGTGTAACCTGCATGGAAACTTGCCAAACAGGTGGAAGCCAACGAGAGAAAAAGGATGGGTGAGAGACAGAAAGCGAGAATTTAAACAGTGACAATAACAAGTACGCCTCATAGATGGACAGAACCACAATGAAGATTTTGGTGCCTTCATCGGGTACCTTAGCTCTGCACTAAATGTGCCCTGCTTACAGGCAATTTCAACTTGCCAATCTACCTTGGCAAAGAATAAAAAGGTTCAGTTCTGGCACCTTTTTAGGCACAATAGCATTTCCAAAGTATAGATCGGAAAAAAACCCAATGCCCAACCCAAGTATAGATGTAAAGCATGTGTTGCATCGGTGAAAAAGTAAATGACAAAAGCATTAAAGGAAAAGCAAAGGGCATATTGACAGATGGATGCAGTGAAATGTGGCAGAGTTGGAGCATTGGGAGAAGGAAGAGGAGAGGAAAACAAAATGAAAGGACTCTAGGGAATGCTGAAGGTGTTAATGACAGAGGGCGAAAAACGTCGAGGGAGAGAGAAAAAAAGAAATCTATTGACAGGATGAGAGCGCCTGATTAATGATCAGGGATTGTTTACTTCTGCATCTGTTTTCTCTGCCTCTGCCTGTCAATCACTTCTCTCACTTTGTTTCTTTCTCACTCCTCCACCCACCGTGTCTCCTGATGTCAATACCACATTGTGCTAACTACACCCCAGAAGGAAATACTCCCATAAATACCCCAAATCGTATTCATTCGTTCCTCGGGGGGGAGCTGCCGATCGATCCGTGCAGTGTGATAATAGCACTTTGTTGCACCGCATGGAACAACATCCGCTGTGTGTCACCAGAGAACAACATGTGCTGAGAATCACCCAACCAAAATTAATTGTTATTGAAATAATGATCCAAACATTCACCATCTTGATATTTTCCTTCTAAGCCACAGTGCGTCAGGGAAATACGTCTGTGGTGACAATGTGATTGTGACATGCATTACAGTTGTTTATTTGAAATGATTTCACCTGTGACTGATAATAAGTGACACGGTAATTTGTAATTGTTACAAAAAAAAATCTAAGATTTCTTTTCCTGACATCAGGACCCACAGGTTTGAAACAACTGATATCAACAGAGTCTGATCATCCAAGCTTTGTTTGGAGTTTGATTTGTTTTATCATGTGACATCAGACTTTCTGAGGCACATTTCATGTCCTTCTGTCCTACAGCAAACATCAGCTGTCAAATTAAATAGTGTTTTTTATTCTTCTATCTTTTATCATCTGTAACTGAGAGCTAACATGTTCCTTTAAAGCTTGAAGGTGGGAGTTCCAGCTTCCTGCTGTTAGCCAATCACAGTTTCAAGCTTGGGACGCACAACATTACTGGCTTTCTGCTAAGGTGCCATGGTAGCTGTCCATGCAATGCTAAAGAGAAGTAGGGTTACGGCTGAGTGTTCTGTAACTGAGGCGTGAATAGAAAAAGCGGCCTGTTCACTTTGAACGGGGTGACGTCATGTGTCGCAGAACTGCATTGTGGTTTGTTTTGCTTTGCTTGCATTGTGTGTAGGTTTGGTGTTTATTAGTTATTTGAGGCTATAAAAACAAGCTGAAACCTCATGAATGACAGCTGAGACTGACTCGGCCAAACTTACTAGCTACCTCACTACAAAATGGCACATTGGACAAGTGGAGACATGACATTCATCTCATCGTCTGTGGTGCCAGAACCACTGCTCACAACCCCCAACTGATTCCAAACAACACATCTCATGTACATTTATTTGTATGTTTACAGGTCTGGTCTGTCATATAATGGACAACCATGAGTTGTGTTTACAGCTCAGAGGTAGAGCATGACCAGAAAAGAAAGAGAAAAAAAGAGACAGCTACAGACACCCAAATGGTGACAGACGGTGAAGGCAGTTTACATATGCACACAAGCACTCCAATCGGACCAAGGCTAGGAGGACTGCTGTAGGAGAAAATGAGTTTTGTTCTCTGGAGGCTGAGAGAGGAGGGGGGAGAGAGAAGGAGAGAAAGAAGAAAGTAAGGAATGAAAATTTCCATTGGAGGAACTGAGGATCATTGTTTTGCCTTAGGCCACATTGGCAGTAGTAGAAAGGGGGAGAGATCTGTCTTTCACGTCCACTTTTCACTCTTTTCCTCCCGCTTTATCTTTCTTTTTCTCACAAACACAGACACACACAGACACACACAGACACACAAAGACACACATACACACACTCTGTGCCATCTGTGCCTCCTTAAGGAGCAATAAACCCAAGTCTCCTCCAAAAAATGCAAACGACAGTATTATGTCTCCACAGTTTATGTGCGTGTTTTGTGAAGCAGATATATTCGTCTTGCTGGTGTCTGACGGGGCACGACTGCTGAGCTGCAGCCAAAATACTCCATTTGACCTAGATCATCTGAGCACCCGACTGGCGTATGTTGGTGTGTGTCTGTGCGTAGTGTTTATGCCTCGTTGTCAGCGATATGAAGAATTTTGGACTTTGCCCATAATGATACAAGAGCTCCCTCCCACATGTCTTCTGACTCCCTGCTTATCCTTCTGTTTTTGTCGTCTTTCACTGGGCTTCTCCTTGATTTGGTATTTCTGCTCCTCAGTCTCCTGCTCTCCTGCTCTCCTTCTCTGACGTCTTTTGTTTTTTTGCCAAGCGACTGGAGCATGATGCCATATTGGTGCCCTGCGCTTCAGCTGTCAAGACAACTGTTTAAATTCACCCAATAACTGGCATGCACACACACACACACACACACACACAC